CTACCCTCATGTCTCAGCATATAACATCTCCTTAGAATGGTAGAAGTTAAAGAACAAACGAAGTCAATGCATATCAAAGTCGTTTGTAAAAATAAATTATTTATATTGATCATAGAATTAGATGATTTATTTACTTTATTTTTGATTTAGAGATGTAAATATTATTTTGAGATAAAATTAAGAATTTAAAAAAGGTTTTCGCTTCTTCTTCTTCTTTTTCTGTTTTTTTTTTTTTTTCCTTTTTTGATAAGACTCACTTGCCTATCTTATTAGTAAAATAAAATATACCTCTTTCTAACTAAAAAATACTTGTCGGTGCCTCAAGCTTCAGACAACAGCTACACCTAAAACGACAAAGGAGAGAAGTATATATATAGTTGGCATCGTCGAAATGAGTGAAAACAACAGGTTCCCCCAATTAAAATTTGTGTGTGTGCTTCAATCGGGATGACTAAGCAAAGCATAACAACATCAAAAAGTGGAGTTTATATAAAAAAATATATTAAAAAAATGTGATTTTGCAATTTGTAATAAGTGAGCTGCACTTTTTTAATTTATTGATAGAAGGATGGATCTTCTAATGTATGTAGCTTACTTTTTTGATGTATAAACCACCCCCTCATATGATTGATGGTGAATTTTAAGAAAGAGATTAAAAAAAAATACACACAAAAAAACAAAAAAAAACAAAACCCCATAAAACCATAGTCATTGCCCAAAGAGCCCTTGTACGTGTTTTCAATTCTCATGATCTGAAAAAGCTAGCTTTGTGGACGAAGGGTCATCTCAAAGTACCAGCAGCTCAGTGTTTTAGGGTGGGTGCTCTTTAGTCTGTTAGGTCATGTTGTAATTAAAAAAGTCCTACCAGATACCATAGCAGACTGAAGAACCCAAGTGATCGATTGGTAAATATTGGGTGCTCTTTAGTTTAATTTTCTAGTTTAATGCGTGTTCAGAATAATGATTAATCAAACAAGAAGAAAATGAAGAACGTCCTCTCAAATATTCTAGAGTTGTGTAAGATCTAAATAGTTTGATAGTTATTTTTTTTATTAAAGTATCTTGATTTTATATTATATTTTGTTTTTGTTTCCCGCTTGGTATCGAGACTTCGTCTCGACTATTGCGAACTCGACCAGCTGTGGCGCACCAGAATGGTGGGTGGGTCTCCTAACGAAGGTTGCTGCGTACACAAGGTTTCGAACTCGAGATCTTACTTGAGCTGGAACAAACTGCTTGCCACTTGATTCAACCCTTCGTTGGTTGATTTTATATTATATGATATAATGAGATAAGCTGAAAAATAAAAAAATATATCAATTTTTATTATGTAACACAAAATTAATAAAAATATGTTTAAAATGTTTTTTATTTTTTGTATTACTCTGAAAACTTTATTTTAGAGTTTGAAAATACAAAAAATACTTTTAACTAAGTAGTAAATTAAGGATGTATTGAAAATTTATTAATGTTTTTTTTTTTTTGT